AATGGAATTTATTCTACTTATTTGTCAAATATCGCAATCAAACATGGCGGCACAGTTAGGTGTCACATATTCTAAATTTCCTGTCCATCTCCCTGGGAAAAGTTGATAAATTAATCAGAAGTCTTGGAAGGAAGTGTACAGCATAGGGACAATGTCCTCCGTAGAACACATAGTCAACGAGAAGGATTCCATCGATCTATTCATTCCCAAAAATGGGCGTTAAGTTAGTGGAGAGCCCCACCACGTACCTTTGAACAATTGAACCCATCAAATCTTTATTGGGTTTGCTGTTTCTTTGTGCTTATCTTTTTGCTGTTGACAGAACTTTGTTATCTAATTACTTTATCTCGTATCGTTTGGAGTGGGCAAAGTCTTTGATCCTCATGATTTCATAGAATGTGCGCATATCTATATATACTTATTGATTGCAATCAAACTACAGTGCTGGGTCTGGTTGTGGTGTTGATTGGGTGCACTTAAAATATTTGAGGCAGATCAGTGGAAACAACCTTTAAACTTGTGTTCATTAAGCAAAGCATAACCGAAATCATGGCTAAACAATTATGAGTTAATTATAAAGCACTTTGGACTCTTTTTGTTGTAGGTTCCTCAACCGTGCATCATTAAAAGCTGAAGGAGACATTGGATCCGATGGCTCAATTGCAAAACCATGGAGTCTTTGCACGGTGCAACATGTAGAAGATCTGAAGAGCTTGATCAGAATTTTCCCACTATGGTCTTCAAGTATATTTTTAAGCATTCCAATAGCAATCCAGGGCAGCCTGACAATTCTCCAAGCTCTAAGCATGGATCGTCACCTTGGGCAACATTTCAAAATCCCTGCTGGCTCTGTCGCAGTCATAGTGTTGATTTCCACATCCATTTTCCTGACCCTGATTGATCGGTTCTTGTGTCCTATGTGGCAGAAGCTGACTCGGAAGCCTCTATCAGCCCTCCAGCGAATAGGTGTAGGCCACGTGTTAAACGTTCTTGGCATGGCCGTGTCAGCATTGGTGGAGTCAAAACGGCTCAATAGGGTCCATACCCACCACCTCCGGTCTCAACCAAGTTCCATCGTGCCTATGTCGGCTCTGTGGCTATTTCCCCAACTAGTTTTGGTTGGAGTTGGAGAAGCCTTTCATTTCCCAGGACAAGTTGCACTATATTATCAAGAATTCCCTGCATCTCTGAGAAGCACAGCAACTGCTATGATTGCTATGATTATTGGGATCGCTTACTACTTAAGCACTGCAATAATTGATTTACTTAGGAAGGTTACGAGCTGGTTACCTGATAACATAAACAATGGAAGGCTAGATACTGTTTATTGGACCTTAACTGTGGTGGGGATGCTCAACTTTGGTTATTTCCTTGCTTGTGCCAGGTTGTATAAGTATCAGAATGCTGAAAAGGAAGTTAATGATAGTTCTGCTTAAGAAAATATGTTAATGTATTTTCAAAATAGAAGGTTGTCTCATATAATAGAAATTTATCTTAGTTCAAAAGTTATGTCACATATAGTAACATAATATAATTATTAGATTGTAAGCGAAATTTTTATATAAATAGTTATGTCTCTTAATAAAATGATATATTATAAAAATACTTTTAAATTCAAAAATTATGAGACAATTGAAAAAATACTACAACTCAAAAATTTGGTTTTGTAAAGTTATCTTTTCATATCACACTTTAAAAATTATCTCTTATAAAATAAATAGTTATCTTTTTATAAGGTAATTATTGAAACAATACCTTTATCTAATTATTACATCTTACAAAATGTAAAGATATCTTTAAGATGAGCAAATTGTGAAAAATAGCCAACATCTAATTAAATAGCCCATTTCAAATTTTAATAAAATTTTTTTATTTTTCAAGACTACATCTACGGATTGGTAGGTTTTGATATTTTGTAGTTATATATATATATATAAAGAATCTAAATGAAGGTGAGAGAGTTTTTTTCTTGCAAAGTTGTTAATTCCTTACTATGTTCATGTTCTTCTTTTTTGAAAATTTTCAAAGTCTTTAGTTTCTTGTAAAATTTTTTTAAAAAATCAACAATTGATTTACATTTACCAAACTCGAAAGTTGATGGGTTGAAGTTATAAGTGAAATGAAATTTGTAAATTAGAACACCACGCAGAGTTGCTATATGCAAACATATTATTACACACCATGTTTACATGTAACAACTCTAATGCACTTGAAGTATAACAAATCTATTGAATATGGCATGGCCTATAATAACATGTTTTTGTACATTTTTATATAACAACATATTTTTCAAAATAACGTATAGTAAAATTTTTTGAATATAACATGTAATAACATTTTTTAAACATGACATGTAACTTATTCTTTTATATTTCACTAGAATATAAACTCTTAGAGTTAAACACTATAAAGCATGGCGTGTAACAACTTTTTTTTTCAGCATGTCGTGTGATAACTTTTTTGGAACATGGCATATAATAACAACATCTTTTAAACATGACTTGTAACTTGGTATCTATCTTTATATTTTACTAAAACATAAACTCTTAGAGTTAAATACCTTCATGATTGAGACAAAATTTAAAATCAGAAAGGAAATTGACATGAGAATGAAGATATATTGAAAAGTTATTCAACATCAAGTTACTGCAGAGATGAAATGAATTTGGACAAAAAGATATTATTCAAAAGCTCCAAATTTAGATAATTAGTTTTTGGAGTTATTTTATATGCTGTATTTCCTGTGATCATAAAAAAAATGACATATGACAATTTTTTTTTTTCAACGTAATGTGCAATAACATTTTTTTTTTCAATACGTGTGCTTGAATATGAAGAGGTTTCATTAAAAATAATTTTGTTTAAAAATTTTTTCTTTTGGATGAAAACAATTAAAAGTAAACATAAATTATTTTTGGAAAACACCTTATTTTTTAGAGTTAAAAAAATCGTCTTTAAAGAAAGAGGTATCTTGATGAAAATATTGTAGCTTTATAGAGATATTTACAAGCCTATGTAAAAATGCCAACCATTTTGACATACAAAAACAAATAAAACAAAAATAAAAAAATAAAAAACAATAAAAGTGTTATGTTTTGAAATTAAATATAAATACTTAAGTTTCCATCATCTATAAAATAAATTTAAATTATGTATAAGCTATTTGTTGCAAAAAGTAGATTCTAAAGCTAAACAACTTTGTCAGCCTTTGGATATATTTAACGGTCTATTCCTGTAAAATGTAAAAATAAAATTAAACGTTTGTTTCATTATATCCTTATATAATGGGTGCAAAATAAATTTTAAAAATAACGTCTACTAAAAAACTCATCTTGAAATCAATTTTACCGATTCATTAGATTTCATATGAACATTTGCACCAACAAAATATATGTTTGACAGCAAAGAAACTTCAATGTAAAATCTTACTGCTTTTTATACTTATAATATTCTCTTTAGTTACGGGTTACGCATCAATGTTTAACTATCTTTTAGGTTGAACACAAGGCAGTGTTTGGTATGAGGGAAGTGAGAACACATTCCCTACAATGTGTTTAATTAAATTACACAATAGTATTTGTTTTACAACAAACTACTGTAATATAAGATTGTAATGCAATCATATTACAGCCTAGAGATAGTTCAAAACCAATGCAATTATATTACATTGCACTTTGTAATATTCTTAAAGATATTTTTACTCTTTAAATTTATTACCTTGTTAAAAATATTTTGTAATGTTATAATTAAAATAAACAATATTTGAATAAAATGTTTAATATAAGAATTAAAAATTAAAATAAGATTAAATATAAGAAATTAAAATTTATATGATATAGGTAAAAAAAATTAAAACAAAATATATAATATAAAAAATTATATTAAAGAAATAAAAATAAAATATATAAGATTATAAAAAAAAATAAAAATAAAATATATGATATTAAAAATATATTTAAAAGATGATATTATATAAAAATTAATAATAAAAAATACATGTATATTAAACTTGAATTGTAATAAATAAGGGTAATTTTAAAAATTAATATTACATTTTCAATAGAGTACTTGTAAATCAAACGCTGTAATATTATCTTTTTTGTATTTTAATTATTATTTTACTTGTATATCAAATATTGTAATATTATTTTCCTTGTAATCATATTACTAGTAATTACATTACTTATAATTATATTACAATATAAAATATCAAACTCCACTTAAGTGAAATCCAACAAGATTTGAAAGAGAGAGCAATTTAGCATAAGATCTTTCTGCTTGCTATCTTCAGTCCTCACATCAACTAATGTGCACAACCGTGGGTTGCAACTTCCTAGTGAAGAGTGTCTGCTTAGTGTTCCTTCTCTTGAAAAACTAAAAGTTGAATCGACATTTAAGCTGATAAGATGTCAAAAGGATTTATTTTATCTTTTCGTAGCAGATTTCTGACTGCATCTTGAATTGACATCACCGAAACGTTTTTAATTTGTGAAAATAATAAAAGGTACCTGGAGAAATGGAGAATAAACTAATTTGCTTTGAGAGGCATCTGATTCTATAACTTGCAGTGGAATCCCTTTGGCATTGGTTAGAAAATGGTGAGCTAATTGTATGATGGTTGTCACATATATTCTGATAAGTGAAATCCAACAAAACTCTATCGTCAACCATAAAGAAGGCCACCTTTCCAATTGCAACTTCTACTGCTCACTATTGAGGTTGTGAGTCACCAGGATCCTTGGATTTTTATGCCCGCATATCTTCGCTTGATGCGTAACCATAGGAGTCCATGAAGGACTTTATCTTTTCTCTGACAAGGAGAGAAGCTGGTAACTCAACTGGTGGAGAATATGTAACAACATTCTTGCATTCTATATAAAGACTTTCATGGGTAGAACACTAACATAGCTAAAAAGTTTGCAGCAAGTATTGTTCAGCAGCGACATGGGAGGTGAACTCTCTGGCAATGAAGAAGCACAAATATTGCCTGATCCTGCTCCCAAACAAGGCGGCTGGACTACTTTCCCCTTAATTGCTGGTTTGTCTCTCTCTCTCTCAGTGTGTCATGCAATCTTGGACTGACTAGTTAATGCATCATTTTTGCTTTTGTTTTTTGTTTTTTTTTGTTTTTTCACTAACACCAGGGACCCTGATGGGATCGAGCATAGCTGTATCAGGATGGGCAAACAACTTAATTGTGTATATGATAGAAATATTCCATGTAAGAAGCATTGATGCTACTCAAACTTTTAACATGGCGGCTGCTTCCACTAGTCTACTTCCAGTGATTGCAGCAATCCTTGCTGATTCCATTTTAGGATGCTATTCTGTCATCTGGACGTCTTCTCTGGTCTCTGTCCTGGTAATAGCCTTCCTTGACACCAGAACAGTTGAACTAATTGAACAATAAACAAGCATGACAATGCCTTTTTGCTATGTGGCTAATCATACTGATGCTATATATTAGTCATTACACAATTTCAAATGCATATCATGGTATTGAGCACTGGTAGAAATGAAGAAAAGAGAATTATGTTGCCTTTTGGCTTCTGTTATGTAAGTGGTAAAATACTTACAGTTAAAACATGAAAACAGAACACAAGCCGGCTTCGAATGTTAGATACTAATATAGTAATGTATACTACTGGTTCTCTTGGAAAGTTGGATGAAAATGTTTTTAACTCATCTTTTGACTAAATTTGTTAATCTGACAATATGTTAAGAGTTTGTTTTTTCTTTATTCTTTTCTGTTGACAAGATGGAGCTTATCAACTTTGATATTTATGGATGTCATGTTTCTTGCCTTGGCATCTCTGAATCCTTTCCATAGTTAGCCAGTTCACCTGGTCTATTAAATAGGTGTCAATCATAAGCCACATAGCGACTGGAACTTTTTACAACAAACCTACAGGACTATACCATTTCTGTTGGAATAGGCTCACTGTAGGGTGATTTGCAATTAATAGCTAAAGATAGTTCAAAATTGTTGCTGTAGCCTGTAGGAATATTTATTTTCTAATAATGAAGATGGGAATAGAACTTTGTACAGTAATCTGTTCATAGTCAAGTCATTTCCCCTTGCTCTTTTAACTAATTCTTAATTCCTTTTTCCAAAACATTAAAGTGCTGCAGTATTGATCACATCTTTTTCTGGATGAACATATTCACATCTTCTACTTACTCCTCTTTATGCAATGTTAAAGTGAAAAGAAACAATACAAACTAGAACATGCTATGGTTGTTAAATTGATTTCAACTGTGAAAAGGAGTTATCCTTTGTTGAAGCAGCTTTCTTAATATCAATTGCAGGGGATTCTCCTCATTGCCTTAACAGCTATGCTTGAACCCTTGAGGCCTCAACCATGTCAAAATGGATCAGGCATGTGCCCAACCCCGTCAAAAGTTCAATTTTCTGTCCTTTATTCAGGCATAGCACTAGCGTCTATAGGGGTGGCAGGCACTCGCTTTACCATTGCAGCCATGGGAGCTAATCAATTTGAGAATCCCAAGGATCAAAGGGTTTTCTTCAATTGGTTTGCTGTCACTTTGTATACCTCACTGGTATTAGGTGCCACAGTAATTGTTTATATTGAGGAAAATGTAAGTTGGGCACTAGGATACTGCCTATGTGTTGCAGTCAACGTTGTTGGATTAGCCATTTTCTTGTTAGGAAGACGTTATTATAGACATGTGAAGCCTCAGGGGAGCCCTTTCACAAGCTTGGCTCGTGTCATCGTTGCAACCTTTCTCAAGAGAAAGGTTCCTCTTTCATCCAGAGCTGAAGATTACTACCATCACAAAGATGGACCAATGGACAAGAGATATTCAATGCCTACTAAAAGCTTCGGGTATGATTTTTCCTTTTATATATATATATATATATATTCACTTTGAACATTTCCCTGTTAAAAGTTAAAGATTGATCCAAGATGCTAATTATTCATTTAAAATATCTTAAGCAAATCTTGATTTCAATGCCAATTCCAAGCTATAGATTCTTCTATTGTAGAAGGTATACACTGATGGGAATGTTAAATTAATTCTAAACCTATTCCAAAATTCTCAAATCTGTCTTTAAATTATCATTTAATATACCAATTCACCTAAGTCTAGGAAGTGACTTTATTTCATTATTTGATGACATTGCACCAATTAAGCAATGCAGGTTTCTAAACCATGCGGCATTGGAAACTGAAGGAGACACCAAGGTGGATGGATCAATCGCAAAATCATGGAGGTTGTGCTCAGTTCAACAAGTTGAGGATCTGAAAACCCTGTTAAGAATTTTCCCACTGTTGTCAAGTGGTATTATATTGTGCACCACATTACCAATTGTAAGTACCTTGACAATCCTCCAAGCTCTAACCCTGGACCGCCATCTTGGACCAAATTTAAAAGTCCCAGCAGGATCCATGATAGTATTCATACTAACCTCAACTGCCATCAATCTCACTTTCATCGACCGGTTCCTTTTTCCCATGTGGCAGAAGATAACTCACAGATCACTGATGCCCCTTCAACGAATAGGACTTGGCCACGTGTTTAACATGACAGGGATGGCTGTTGCTGCCCTGGTCGAATCAAAAAGGTTAAAATTTGCTCAAATCCACCATGTTTCAGACCATCCAGGGTCCATTGTTCCTATGTTGGTCCTGTGGTTGGTGCCACAGCTAGTGTTGGTTGGAGTTGGAGAAGCATTCCATTATCCAGGACAAGTCACACTGTACTATCAAGAATTTCCAAAGCCACTGAGGAGCACAGCGGCTGCAATGATTTCAGTAGTGGTGGGAATTGCCTATTATTTAAGCACTGCCGTAATTGATCTAGTTCGCACGGTCACTACATGGTTACCAGACGATATAAATAAGGGAAGGCTGGGAAATGTCTATTTGATGTTTGCCGTCATGCAAATGTTTAACTTATTTTATTTTCTCATCTGTGCCAAGTGTTATAGGTATCAGAGTCCGGAAGAAGGGAATAAAAGTAACGATGAGAGTTGTGAGGCTGAGAAATGATGCTGCAGTTGAAGCAACTGATGAGAGCTTGGAACATGGTCATGTGTAAGTCTATGTCGGGCTCTCCCTAGATTTTTGTTGGACTTGGAGAAGCATTTCAATTTTTTCCAGGCCATCAAACAGTAATGGAGGGGAATGGGAATGACAATTTAAAAGCAATGATGATGTGGAAGAAAATGGAATACTAAATGCAATTAGAAATGTGTAATGGTAATCTTATGCAAATATATAGAACATCCACAATGCCTATGTCGGCTTTGTGGATATTTCTGCTGCTATTACATTTCCCAAGTCAAAACTGCATTGATTCATATCACGATTTTCCTGTTTCCTTGACTACTGTGAAACCGATTATTGGATGTCCTCCTGTTGAGTAGAAGATAGATTCAAGCTAGTCTAGCTTTAGCTGTTTTTATAGTAATTTGGACACAGGAATAACTGGAGGCTAGATAACATGTATTGAAGACAACTTGCGGTAAGGGTGTCTAAAATTGTATATTGGGCTAGACAATTGAAGTGCAACTCTGTTGAGTACAATGTCTGTCTTGGTTAACATTATCAGCTTCGGGATTGTCTTATATTATTGCCATCAAGCCATAAGCCATTACAGTGCAGAGAAACAGAGAGCTGGGGGTTTCCAGGGACATGGTGTTATACCAAGAAAGAAACACACAACAAAATCAAAATCATAGTACTCCTTTAAGTGTAACCTTACTAAAGCAACTTTGCACAATTGGCCCTTTTGTATATTGAACAGTGGATTTTGGTATGTCGGCTCTTCTATCAGAAACCAAACAAGCTACAAAAGAATGTTCTTGTTTTTTCTTTTTTTCTCATTTTAGAAACCTTGTCCTAGATTAGCAATTGTCTAAACAGTTTCTTCTACCAGCAAACACCTATTAGTAATTAGCAGTAAATTAGTACAATACAGTATGATCTTCCGTCTAGCAAAAACTGCTAAGTCGCCTTTCAGGAATACCTGTTGCTCTTGCTGCTGTGCATCGAGACTGCTTCACACTTCTTGAGACAAATCTTCTAGCCCTAACCTGTTTCCCATTAATGAAGAATTTCACCAACTTCTTGCCCCCAAGAATCATTGACATGTCCGAGAGTGACTTAAGAACAACACAAGCAAACAGAGGGAGCGGGCTTTTATCCATATAGATTGCCTCCACACATTCGCCAAATTTCCTGACAATGAAACCATGAAGATCTTGGTTTATAACAGGATGTCCCCTGGAGAAGGTCATGAACAATGTTCGATCTTCTGAACCAACTCTAGCCTTGTCCTTTGTCGCAGTAGCCACCTTCTGTTGCATTTTTCCCCCATGAGGAGTTTGGCATTGCAATGCACTGTTAGATTTTGAAGATTTCTTGCAAGCCAAACGCGTTAGAACAATATCACAAAATGCTAGTCGGCACACATCTTCGACGAAATCCTCAATCATTCTTTTGGGGCATTCCCTGTTCTTAAAAAGATAAGCCAACGAGATATGTTGACCAACGAGTTTACGCGTAACAGGGAAATCTCTATGGACCCTTGGAAAGATTTCTTGAGTAGAAAGGTATAAGCAGTGTAAGAACATTATGGCCTCTTTGGCTAAAGAAAAAAGCAATGGATCAGGTAATTGTTGGAGGTTCTTGACGAAATGCTTGAAGCCTCTTCTTTCAAGAAAATTCCAAAAGGCAACGATTTTCATGGATGGGAAAAGGTCGAAGCCTAGGCCTATTACCAGTCTAGTATATGCCTGGCGGTCGATATTGTGAAAGTCTTGAAGTTGTTTAAGGGTAAGCTCTGAAGCCGGGGTCATGGCACAGACAGTCTTGGATGCTGGGAAAAGAGATAACAGTGAAATCAAGAAAGGAAGACTGAAAGACTTGCGTGGTAAGAATCAACTGAAGAGACAAAAAAATTTGAATAGAAAGAAAGAAATCAAGAAAACCTGTTATTATATGTAGAAAAGCGGTGCACTTTCCTATATGAAGAGGACGTTCATTTTCTAATTTTATTTGTGGTAAACAGTAAGCTACCGAAAAGTTGAAGAAAATTATCAAGAATGCAAGCCAAGGTTTTATTTTCTTTTTTACAAACGGTTCATTAATCAGACTTAAACATACACCAAATCACGACGAAACTTTAATCTTTGTACCAAATAATTTCTTTTTCACTTGAAAAACGAAATATTCAACCCAATTTTTTTTTTTTCAAAAAAAAAAAACTCCAATGCAATTATTATTAGAAACAAACTGCTTTTAGAGAATCCAAATTAATTAGTAATACGTTTATCCAAAAATAAAAAAGGCAAAGGGCCAGGCCAAAGAAAAGAAAGGTGAAGTTGTCAATCCCTCACCTGGAGATCATAGGAAAGTTTGATTGGCCGGCGGTACAAATTTCCAGCTAAGTCTAGTTGAAAACTGATCAAACTGATATACAAAAGAAGCTTGAAATATGCCAGAATTGTGGCATTTATATTTATATATTTGCTCAAACCTTGGTTAGGTGTTGCGTGATAGTAGAATTGTCACTTTTGTTAGCTGTAAAAAACAGATGATTAGGTGAGCCTCAGCCTCCTCTACTCAAGACCAGGTGGGATGTTTGTGTTTGTAAATTTTGTGCAATCAAATGGTCCAATCCCTTGATTGTTCTTCCTTCTCACCTGAAAATCACATCATCTTTCAGCATTAGTTGCACATAACAGGTGAAGAAATTTTAGGTCCCAAGCCATGACTTTCAACAATGACTGATATCACTAAACAATGCGAAAAGCATCAATTTAAATGATTTCATAACATCTTTACTGCATCAATAATCCTAGTTGGTCCATGTCAAGATTAAACTCTTGGTGCATGTTTATAGTATAATTCTAGGAGTTACCCCAGGGTGCCCGGTTGGAACAAAATGGAGTAGAGGAGCAACAGAATGTCAAAAATAGGAAATATTAGGGGCAGCAAAAATGAAATTCTTCTGCAAGAAACAGAAAAATCAGAAAAATTAAAAAGGAGGTATCAACAATCAACAGAAACGTAGCCTTTTGACCAATGAGATTAGTCTGATACTTTCATTACATTTTGGGAACTTGATATTTGAAAGAAATGCCTTTATATTTGATCAGTTGGTTCAGCTTTCACAACCAGAAAAAACATAACATTATATAGAAATTCAAATCTTGTACAGGAAGTAGAACCATACCGGGGACCATGGACCAGGTTCAGGCAGAGACTTGTCCTTGGGTGAATGTTGTACAGCACCACTTTTCATTGTTAAAATTTCCTGAGTGAAGAAAACGCATTTTTAAATATGGCTAAACACATATTTTTAAAAAGTAATTTTGCAATGAGTTTTCAATGAAACTATAAGTGGTAAAACATAAACAGATTTTCTTTCAAGCTTATACTCAACTTACAATTTACGTATAGGTATTCAACTAAACAGCTTAATGCTACTCTCTATTGGTTTCCTACTTAATGCAATTCTAAACCTTGAATATCACGCTCATCAACATGAGTCTTCAGCGTCATGGGGTAAAAGGAAAAAATAAATAAATAAAATACCTCTCCAGCAGCTTCAAATGCAGCTAACCATTCATCTGAAAATGGAACAGCATTTGTAGGAGGCTTCACTACAGGAGCATCTTGTTTTTTTTCATTCCCAGTTTTCTCACTGCAATAAAACAAGTCAGACTTGAGCATTTTTCTGAAACTCTTATGACATTTAAAAATGCTCAAAAAGCATAGGAGTTAGATGAAACCATAGACAAATACAGTGCAAAATGTGTTTTGAGGTTGAACTAAGTAAGATGCTTACTTAGAAGTCGTTCTACCCTTAGCTTCCACAGGGATCACAGCAGTGTTTAATTCCTCTCCAGCAGCTTCAAATGCAGCTAACCATTCATCAGAAGATGGAACAGCATTCAGAGGAGGCTTCACTATGGGAGCATCTTGTTTTTTGTCATCCCCAGTTTTCTCACTGCCATAAAACAAGTCAGACTTGAGCACTTTTCCGAAACTCTTATGACATTTAAAAGTTCTCAAAAAGCATAGGAGTTAGCTGAAACCATAGACGAATACAGTGCAAATAAAGAATGGTGCTTACTTAGAAGTTGGTCCACCCTCAGCTTCCATGGGGATCATAGCACTGTTTAATTCCTGTGGCACACTTTTCTCCAATCTATTCACTTCTTCCTGTAAGACAATTCCACTTGAAGAGGTCTGATTTGCATTGATTGAGGATGTTGATTCCTCATTCAAAGAGCAAAATGCCTGTGAATTGCAGGTATTTACTGCCCCAGAATTTTGATCTTCACTCAATGAAGACAAATCAAAATTCAAAGAGGTTGCTTGGCCACTTTGTTCACTGTCAGGCCTGAAGATCATATCATTATAACAATCATGATTGTCATCTGACACCTTAATCTTAACAGAACTTGATACTTCCTCATTCACAGACAATCCAATTTTGTCTGACAAAATTTGTTCAACAATGACAACATTTTGAAGATCAGGAGGGTCATTTAAATCCTCAACAACCATTGCATAATTGTTAATTTCTGCTGAAGTGAAAAGGTTACTTTTGCAGCTCTCAAGTGGAATACTATCAAAGGACTGCGAATGTGCATGTTCCTCAAAAGATCTTGTAGTCGTCTCGTTAGCTCCAGCAGCACATAATTCATTTGTTTCATCTATGCATTCTACCTGAGACAGACCAAAAGGACCTTCCACTACTAATCCAACAGAACCTTTATCTTCGGGACTGACATCTGCAAGCTTATTACTGTCCAAATTATGGGACTCTTCAGCAAATTTTCCCTCCACAGACTTAAGCCTGTGATATGCATCTGGAATCTGATTCTGTTGGGATGCTTTACAAGCTTCAAAGGAGGACTGTATCAGCTCAGCTTGGGCCATAGACTTTTCATGGTCATTTTGTTTATCAAGCAATGAGTTAGTGAGCATAGATGATGCATCAATATGACAAGAAGTGATTTTTTCTTCAGGCTCACTAATGGCAGAATTATATTTTGCAGACGAATCATATCGCTTGCTTTCAACACTTTTAAGGTCAGTGATATCATCTATCTCAGAATAACCTTTAAATTGCACTACTGGGCTAAAGTGTGCTATTGACTGGTAATTATCAATTTCACTACCACTAAGATCTGCACTGCTTTGGCGGTCATTACTGACACCAATATCACAAGCAGTTATTGATCCGGTTACTTGATCTTCACCGATCCCTTCTAATCCCTCAGATGTGGGTTCACAAAGGAGATTAATGTCACAGTTGCACTGTGTATCAGTAGAAACCGAGACCACATGCTCCACATATAGGCACTCAACCACATCAGTCATCTCATGACCACCCTTTTGCAATGCAGGCGGTATCAAACAAGGAGCACCTGGATTTCCTGGTTCACTTTGAAAGGCATCAGCTGGTTCTGATGCTACATCTTTAACACTTTGAAGATTGCTTTCAGCTAAAACCTTTTCAGAAGAAAAGATTTCCCCGCGTGATAAGCAATCAGTTGAATGTGATCCATACTTATCCTGGAAGACTCTTTCTACTACAATGCCTGGATCTGGAAGAGGTGGCGGTTCAACTAGTTTTTCATTTACATCCTCTACAAGTAACTGCTGATTATCCGCCTCTGAATCATTCAGGAGACTACTGCTGTTTTCAAGAGATAGGTCACATTTGAAAGAATGCATTTGTGCATCTCCCACATTTGATTTCAGATTAAAATCAGCAGACTCACCAGAACCATCGTTTCCTTGGATTCCGTCTCTATAGTGAGATAGACCATTGGACATTTCTAATTCACTGGCACTGCAATCTCTGACTTTTTGGCAAATACCATTACTCTGCACACTATTGTAACTAAGAAATTCTTCTGAATCTTCACCCTCCTTGAGCATAGCACTATCATTAATATGCGGCCTCTCAATCTCATTAATTATCTGATCATCATGAAAGGTGCAAGGTTTTGCCTGCTCAACTTGTTCACTTGGTTGGCCATGACTATCAGGCGTGCTGCTTATTTGATCATCTTTTACTTTTGAAGAACCATGTATATTATTACTATTCATATCACTAGAATGCAACTGTGGAAAGAGATCAAAATCCTCTATTAATGAATTATGCTGTTTCTTTCCTGAAAGTTGGTTGCCAACATCAGTCTTCAAGGCTCCTTTTATTTGCAGGCTACAATGAGAGATAAAATGGGGATCTTTAGATTCATCCGCATGCTGATCTGGACTTTGGGGGATAACCAGATCTTCACTCCTCTTATAATCTAAGTTCACTTGTTCGGAGGATTGACTTTGCAAGAGTAACTTGTTATCAGTACACTGCAATCCTACATTTTGAATTTGCTGATTAAGATCATTGTCAATAGTGTGCAATTGTTGCTGATTATTCATCAATTCATGGTTGTCAGAATTGCAGAGAACCTTCACTTCCACCCTTGGCATTTGTAAGTTGGGTCTGATATTTTCACATAAAGAATTAACACTTGATGGAACAGAGGATTCTGTACTTGACATACTTCCGGTTTTTGTTGCTGCTACACCATTATTCACTACAGGTACTTTCATAGATGGAGTGGGGCTCTCACAAATAGAATTGAAGACACCAAGCTTCAACAGATTTGGAATTTTAGACTTTGGGTTGTTGAATAGCTGAGAACTACTCTGTGGATTCTGTGAAGAATTAGTCTTTGACTGCAAAACAAGATCGTGAATCAACAAGAGAGAGAGAAGAACCCCCGTGATGCTTTTAAGCATTCCTAAATACATAAGACTTTACTGGAATTTATGTACAGTTAACATACCTGAGAAAAAAATCCCAATGATGGTGAAGGCATCCGTAAACCAGATGGTTTTGCTATTCGTGGCTGTGCATATTGAGTGTTTCCACCAATACGGCAACCACTTTGAGGAAGAGAAGCAATTTTGCTGGAACCAGCTTCATGATTAGTACATCCATGAGCCGCAGCCACAACAGGATCTTGGTTGCCCTTTAAGCCATTATCTGCCTTAGTAACTGATGGATGGTGTAAATAGGTTGATAAATGACTTGCCAATGCTGAGCTTCCCTGAACATAGAAAAGAAAAAACAGAAGATAAAAAGAAAGTTTTTCTTAGTGTCAAAGGAAACACTAATGGAGCACAAAATTGTCTATCATCTTTTAATTCCTATGACTTCCAAAAGCTTTAGTCTCACCACATTTCTCTTAGCCTGTTGAGCATAGGACTTTGTGTTTTGAGATCTACTAGAAAGACTAGACTTTGCATCATTTTGAGTGCTTCTAGTACTTCTCTTGGAACCCGACAATCCAATGTTTCTGTGGGCATTGACTGCGGTAAGAGAAAAGAAACCAACCAGATACAAATATATCAAAATGCATCTTACACTAATGTGAAATTTAAATTAAAAAAAATACGTATTTATCAAACTATAAAAGCATAATGAAAAATGAAAAACAAACAAAGATATTCATGTCAAGAGCTAATGCTAAACTTTAACCAATACAAATTTATCAAATGTAGTTTAATTTAACCCATCAAGAATTTAATGAAACATACAAATAGAAACCAAGCAGGACTTCCAAAAAACCTTATATGTGCCAGTTACCTGCTTGAGCACTCTGATTCCCCTTTGCTTTATTGATGTTTGAGGCACTCTTGGCAGTTGTAGAAAGTACTAGGGAATCTGGCTTTCGAACAGGTATTTTAGAAATTATTGGCTCCTTAGCTGCTGCCTTTGTTGTGCTCACATTTGCAGGTCTTTTAAGAGTTTGAAAAAGTCAAGGTAAACTCTTGTATGAAGCCATATACATAAAGATACAAGTAAACAAAATAACCCTTCACAAAAATATGCCACTACTTAACAATTCAACAAAACTATAACTAAGAAGAAGGATATGCAGATGATATAACAGGCCTTGGACAACCGCTACGCTTAGAACCACTTCTATTAACATCATGAACTGAAAGAACATTCTGTTTCACCTGAGCAAATTCATATTAAACAGAATTCACAAATTACTTTCATTTCAGAAAGAAGGAAACTAAACGTACTTATATATGTAAATTTATGGAGAACTAACTAACCGCAGAACGGGGGGCTGAACCCGAACTCTTCTGCAATAAGCTGCTACCAATCTTCTTCTGCTCATTCTTATTACTATTATTTAAAGGCAACTCTTTAAATAAATTATTCTCTAGTGCCTGCAAATCAGGTGAATCACCGCATAACGATTCTATCCTCTCTTCTTCAATAACCGACAATTTCTCCCCGCTCAAATTACCGAAATCCCCACTAATCAAAGATAATTCCGTCGAATTCAAAACACCTAACACAAAAGAAAAATTCATAAATAAATAAATAAATATATATATATTCAATCTCATTTGTTTTAAGTAACGAAACCAGCAAAAATCCAAAAAAGGTAAATCATTACCTTCTTCAGTAAAGAAAGCGCGGTCCCAAGCTAAGCTTTTCCTCAAATTATAACCTCTACCTTTTCTCTTCCTCTTCATTTGCTGTGGATCCAAGCTTAGCTTTGGAAGTTCTGATTTACTCGCATTATTGTTAATATTTTCTTTGTCAATGTTCGATGAAAAACTAGGGTTTTTGACTTTCTCACCTGCAAAAAACAAAAATTAGAGCCATTTTCAATCTATAAACAAAGAGCAATAAAACCTTACAGCAAAAAAAAGGAAAAGGAATTAACCTAGGGGATTAGATCTAGGGAAATGGAGAGGGGAGCAAGAGAAATAGGAAGTGTTGAAGGCCGAAACGTCGTCAGTTTGGGCTTGAGCGTGCTGTGAAAGCAACGAATCGTCGTCTTCTCCAGAGATTTCCAAGAGATCGCTCTCCATTTGTCTAATTTCTTCCTCAAACTTTTCCGTCGGGGGTGGAAATGTGGAAGGTAATGATTGGATGGGGTCTACGAAGATTTGACGGTTAAAGTTCAACTGAAAGTCTCAAAGGCAAAGTCTGTTGGGAGAAAAAGGAAAATGATTCTCAGAAGCTGAGACGACCGTTTTCGGACTTTAGTTTGAAAGTAAATTGGCCAAGCGGGAAGGGGAAAAGAACAAAGAGAATCAATGATGATCACGTGACTGGGCTTTTTGCTAAATTACGTAAATACCCATAGAGAGCACGCACATCAGCGGCCTAGAAGGCATCTTGGACCTGGGCTTATATCACTTGTACGGCAACGTTTTCTTCTTTTTTCAACGAATAACATTGGGGTTTTAAGGAGAGTAACTCCATCCAAATCAACCACTTTTCCTTTTTATGAAACTCTTTGATTTTTTGCACTAAGGTATAATTGAATCAAATCAAGTAAATACGGTAACATACTCAAACTAGAACTTGATTATAAACTCGAATGTCAAATTTGATTCATATTGAATCGAGTTTTATATTTTAACTTTGGGCTCAACTTAAATTTAATTTGATGAAATATAATATTCATACGTAATACTAGAATTATCTAAAATGCAGTTAATATGTTAACATAAAAAGAAGCTATGTACTAAAACAGTAGGCATGAATAGAAATTGCTATAGAAAGATAATTTTTATACAACGATATCATTAATTTAATAATTACTCATATTCTTTTAAAGTCTTACATTAACTCATAAGATGATGAAATGCTTATAAATTGAGCACACCAAGTGAAAGTAATAATATTGGGAATAACTATGAGCAGTTGGTTCTATCTTATTTCAATTCTATCGCCCATGCAAAACTAGTTTATGTTAAAAAGTAATACTTGCATGCATGCAGCAAAAGCTTTCTCTCCAAGTAAGTTTATTTTCTTAGTTAATGTTAGTTTGCTTCATTGTAATATAGTTATAGTTTTAATGTTGTAATGTTGTTTTCATGTTGTCCCTTGTGCATTAGTTTGCATGTAATTTGCATTTACACTTATTAAACATGTTTCCAGGTGTTCCGCATGTATACAAGGTATATAAGCCTTGTTTTATTTTAATGAAACATTAGATCAGATCACATCATCTTTTCTCTCTTCTCTTATTCTTTCATATATTTTGTTTTAAGCCTTATTTTACACTAACATGGTATCAGAGCATCTTGTTGGACCTAAAAAACCAAATATCTTTCTTTTTTCTTTGTCGTTTCATCTCCCAACATTTCCAACATGTCTTCACTTTATGCTTTTCATGTGTCTTCACCTATATTTGATATAAAAAATTATCAATTTGAGGCTATCAAGACGAAGGCTTTTCTCAAATATTATGACCTCCAGACAACCATTGAAACTAAAGAAGAACTTGCTGCATTGAAGGATAATGCAACAATAAATAAGATCAAACACTACTCTAAAAAAGTTACAAAGCGATACAGGGCTTTATCTTTTATTCAAGCTGTTGTGTCTGAGAAAACATTCAATAGGATCGTGAATTGCAAACTGCAAAGAAACCATTGACTAAGCTTAAGGAATATTATGTGGGGACAACTAAAACCAAGTGGACGCAAGTTCAAAATCTTTGAAAAGAGTTTGAACTTATCAAGATAAAAGAGTCACAATCTATTGAAGACTCTATTGATCAAGTCAGTCACTTGGTAAATCAAATGAGACTATTGGAGATGACTTGACTAAGTCTCGTTTTGTTCAAAAAATCTCATCAACCTACTTGAGAAGTTTGAAGCTACTATCACTTTAATAGAGCAAACTAAGGATCTATCAGACCTCATAGTATCTGAGTTAGTAATTGCACTCCTTGCCAATAATCAAAGAAGGTCAGCTCGATTGGAGTCTAATGTGGAGAATACATTCTTTGCTACAAGCAAAAGGAAAACCAATGCAGATTCTCATAACAAGAAGATCACTAGTAATAAACAGAAAAAGTCTTCACATGTTAGTCAATCTTTAACCAAGAAAAGTGAGCTCAAAATGTGTACTTACTGCAAAAAGAGAAATCACCCTAAAGAACAGTGTTGGTTCAGATTAGATGTTAAATATCAAGCTTGTAATGAGTTGGCGCATGTAGAGAAGGTATGTGAGAAGAAATCCTCTGTTACAAATAAAGCTCTTCATACAATTAAGACTACTAATAAACTCGAAAAGACTTTATTCATGGCTCCAAATATTTAGTGAATGATGTTGACAATTATGAATGGTTACTGGATAGTTGGAGTTCTAACAATGTTACTCCAACTAAAGCTATTTTTGTCAACTTAGACAAGAACTATCAGGCAAAGGTCAAAATAGAAAACGGAGTTTATCTTCTTATTATTGGCAAAGGTACAGTTCAAGTTCATATTTTCGCAGGTCCCAGATACATATTTGAAGTTCTCTTAATACCTTCAATTACTTATAATTTATTTAGTGCTGGACAATTACTTGAAAATCATTATGCAGTACTACTTAAAGATAATGCCTGTGTTATATTTAATGCCTTTGGTTCTTATTTAATGAAAATACCTATGAAAAAAAGGTGTTTCACTATGTCTGTTGATCAACTATGGTTGCAGGCTAGTGAATCATATTCAAATCTGACAAATTTGTGGCACAAACGCCTTGGCCATCTCAATTATAAAGGTCTCAAACAGGTTAATGCTTCTAATTCTTTAAGGAACTTACCTAAGTTGATTGGTGAGGGATCTATGTGCAATGCCCGTCAATATGGTAAGCTTTCAAGAAAGCCTTTTCCATCTACAGGTAGCAATAGAGCTAAAAACAAACTTGATTTGATCCATTCAGATGTAGTAGGACCAATGAAAGTAGAATCTTTGAATGGCAGCAGATTATCTGATTTTTGTTGATGGCAGAACTCGTTGGTGCTAGATATCTTTTATGAAAGCTAAATTTGAAGTCTTTGAGTTGTTTCAGAGATTCAAAGCTAAGGTGGAATTGGAAACAAGTTTCAAAATTAAGGTTCTCAAAACAGATAACAGAAAAGAATATGTTTCAAATGAGTTCACTGAGTTTCTTCTAGTTGCAAGCATTACTCATCAATTTTTAGAACCCTACTCTCTTCAACAGAATGATGTAAGTGAGAGGAAAAAAAGAAATATTCTTGATATGGCCAGAACTCTTCTATTTGAAAAGAATCTTCCCACTAAACTTTGGGCTAAAGCCTGTAATACTGCAGTATACTTGCAGAATATACTTCCAACTCAAGCATTGGGTGGCAAATCACCGTATGAGGTCTGGTTTGATTAAAGACCTTCAATAATGCACTTAAGAGTGTTTGGTTGTGTCTGTTATGTACACATTCCAAAAGCTTTGAGAGATAAATTACAACATAAAGCTTAGAAAACCATCTTTATTGGCTATAGCACTCAGCCCTAAGCTTACAAAGCTTACTTTCCTGAAACTAGAAAAGTGATAGTCAGTAGAAACTTGTCCTTTAATGAAGCTACAAGTTGGAATGGGGATGTGCAAGACACTTCAAAGTCTCAAAATCCAAGGACAAGCCATTCTCTTCCAAGAATTGATTTTGATGGTGATCAGAATATTGATGATGAACCTGTCAGAGGTACTCAATCACTTAGTGATGTATATCATAGGAGTTGGGTATTAAAGAGCCTACTTTTTATGCTAATGCAGTAAGGCATCCAAAATGGATAATTGCTATGAATGGAGCTTTATATGATTATAGGAGTGGTACATGGTCACTAGTTGATTGACCTTCAAATAGAAACATAATTGGAGTTAAATGGATTTACAAAAAGAAGCTGAATCATGATGGCTCTCTTAACTCAAGTTACAAGGTAGGATACAATTCAACTGTTGTTAGCTTTGTCAGCTGCCCTGGGATGAAATGTCTACCATTTTGATGTAAAATCTGCCTTTGTTAATACAATTCTAGAAAAGAAAATCTACGTAGATCAGCTTGAAGGATTTAAAGTAAAGGATGAACCAGACAAAGTATACAAGCTTAATAAGGCTTTATATGGCTTGAAGCAAGCCCCACGATCCTGGTATAGCAAGATTGATGCATATCTGGTTCCTAAAAGGTTTACAAAAAATAGTAATGAAGCCACATTGTATATACTCAAGTCTAAACGTCAATCTCCATTGTTTGTTTTGCTTTACGTGGATGACTTAATGATTACTGGAAGAGATGATACTACTACTTTGCAATTATTCAAAAAGCAAATGCAAAGTAAGTTTGAAATGTCTGACTTGGGATTAATGAGTTTCTTTCTTGGTCTGGAAATTAAACAATTTGCTGTAGGCTTATTTCTGTCTCAACCGAAATACATCAATGAAGTTCTGGAAAAGTTCCACATGCTTAATTGCAAATTTGCAGCTACCCCACTTGCAGTAAATGAAAAGTTTTCAATGAATAGTGGAAGCAAGCTAAAGGATCCTTCTCAATTTAGAAGTTTGATTGGAAGCCTCCTGTACATATACTCAACACAACTTAATATTATGTTTTCTGTGAGTTTACTGTCCAGGTTTATGAAAGAACCTACTAATCTTCATCTTGCAGCTGGGAAATGTGTGCTTAAGTACTTGAAGGGCACTTTAAACTTTGGAATCTGTTATACCAGAAATCTAACTTTTTTTCTCATTACCTACTTTGACAGTGATTGAGCAGGAAATATAGATGATTCCATTCCCATCCTCCACGAATGGATAGCCAACTAAAAAAAATTGTAGATGATTCCAAGAGTACTTCAAGCTATATCTTTACTCTTGGTAATGAGTTTCCTCATGGAACTCTCACAAACAGTCCATTGTTGCTCAATCTCTTGCTGAGGCAAAGCACATATCTGCTACTGTAACTTCCAATCAAGCAATTTGGTTGAGAAAAATGCTCACTGATTTGCAGTTTCCACAGAATCATCCTACTCCATTGATGGTAGATAACAAATCAGCTATTGTTATCACCAAGAACCCAGTTTTCCATGGAAAGACCAAGCACATCCACATGAAATTTCATGCCATTAGAGATGCTGAGAGGTTAGGTGAAGTTAATGCTCAGTATTGTTGTTCTGAACTACAACTAGCTGATATAATGACTAAGACTTTGAAAAGGCTAAGATTTGAGTACTTGAGAAGCCAAATGAATGTTCAAGATGCAAGTATTATGGAGCGTTAATAAGTAATACTTGCATGCATGCAGCAAGAGCTTTTCTCTCAACTAAGTTTATTTTCTTAGTTAATGTTAGTTTGCTGCATTGTACTATAGTTACAAGTTTAATGTTATTTTATAATGTCCCTTACGTGTTAGTTTGCATGTAATCTGCACTTACACTCGTTAAACATGTTTACAAGTGTTCCACATGTACACAAGGTGTATAAGCCTTGTTTTATCTTAATGAAACATATGATCAGATCCGATCATCTTTTCTCTCTTCTCTTATTCTTTCATATCCTCTGTTTAAAGCGTTATTTTACACTAACAGTTTCCAGAGCCCACTCCATTCTAGAAGCGAAGATTTCATCAGAGTTAGCTCTTGTATGAACATTATTAAAAAAAAAAAACCACAAAAAAAACAAAGGATCACCCGAATGATGATATGATCAGAACTTGAAAGATCGATATCCGATTCCATATCACGTTGGTCCTGCAAAGAATGCTATGACAGATTATATTTGGCATGTCCCTAGAGGAAAGAAAACTGAAACAACTTATACATTTGCTTACTTGTAAGTTACAAGACCTTAGCTGATCTTGCCCTTTCCTTAGTTCTCTGAAGAATCGTCTTCAGAAAAGGCACTGCCATTTACGAGCAGTGAATTATAATCTTCCCCTCCATCTTCGTCACTGTTAAGATCAGCTCTACTGTACCTCCTTTCAAAAAACGTTTGCCACCTCTGCACGTGGGAAACATGCATTAAAACATCAGAACTAACCCGTGGATGGTCTGCTCTACGCTGCCTGTTAAACTCCATAATCTGTTCATAGAGAATGTAAGTATGAGGGGACATGCATCCATAATATCTTAATCATCTCATTAACCATCAAGTATAAGATGATACCTTTACCAGGTTGTTAGGCAGTGCAGGAGCATCACTTGCCATGGGAGCCCAGAGTTCCACATTCTTATCAAGTCAACAAGTGGCTAAAAAAGGCCTATAGGGATGGGGCTCGAGATGATTTTCTACATGTCGAACGCCTACCATTAAACGAACCAGTTTAGCATCCCTCTTCTTCCAAATAAATATATGGCCACAATCAGAAGCACTCATCACATATTCATCATTGGGCCCAAAAACCCTCACTCCTTTGACTGTCTGCCAATTTTCGTGACCCACATAAATCTGTGGCTCCTGCCGAGCTTCAGCATTGAGAGATAAGGGGGAGAGGCCCCCCAGCCCCATGTTCTTTTGGAATAAATAAATCAGCTCATCACTGTCAGAGATAAGTAGTTCACTTGTGGTAGAATAAGTTAATCCTGTGACATGAACATCTATAGAGTCAACCAGGTGACGGGGGCAAAACACGTTCACTGGTGAGTCTGAAATATTCGATGCATCCAGCTGACACCTTCTGATATCATAGATGCGGGCATATTCATCAGAACCTCCCAGAGCAAAGTAATTTGGATTCCTTGGATCAATTACAATGGAATTTAGACTTATTTTTAAAGGCTGTGCCTGCCTGTTAGTTTCTTCGAATGAGAAGCAATGGAATAGCTTTGTTGCGGAGCTACTTCACAGATCAAAGTGCAAAATATAATAGCAAGAGTAACAACAAACCAAATGACAAAGATTGTAGCTAAATCTTATAATAAGGTGCAGGTTTTATGAATTTAACAAACATGTTGAACTAAGCCATCTTCACCACAGGTATAGAATATGTGAGGACTTCCTGGATCCACAGCAAGATTGTGCACGCGACCTTGGTGTTCTCCCAACTTTCTTGATCTAACTTGACCATTCTCCAAAATCTCGCCAAGCCTTACCTGAAAAGGAGAAGGAAGATAAAAATTTGACTTGGACAGATCTATAAATTAATTTCTCTACCAATTTGGGCCAGAAACATAACTATGTAAGTGAAAGTGAACCATAGATTATAATGAGGTCGATCTCATTGGGAGATTCTTTAGTTATGTTTGAAAATTTATTGTGAATGAGAACAATAACCTATTAGCATCAAGAATCAAAGCAGGGATAAATTTATGCACAGGACTTTCACCTGGCCATCAGTAGAAGAGGTGACCATCTACTTATCATCTGTGAAGTGCATAATTCGGGCCTGAAGTATGTTGTCCAAGTATCCAGAAGCATACGAAAGCGTTTTGCTTTTAGTTGCCCAGTTCCATAACATAACATGTTTGTCATCCGAACCTGATACCAGGAGGTGACCAATGGAGTTGAATTCTACAGTGTTCACACATTCCTCATGGCCATTTAGCTCCCCATAAAGGTTGATTTTTTCTACCATAAGCTGTATCAAAATGCAGGCAATTGAGACTTTAAATATATCTCAGGCAGAATAGAAAACTAGTGACCTAGTTATGGCTTGTTTGGAGCAAATTTCAGTTCATGCAGTACGAAAACAACTGTCGGTTTAGTTAACTATCTTTTATACCATTACTACCCAGTGCCCAGTTCGTGCTTTTCATGTTATGTACTTATAAAAGATGATTCCTTCTTAATTTATTTGATACTTTGATCAAGCTAGCAACATTTTCATAACAAAAAAAAAAAAAGTATTTCCATTGGCCTTATAGAAAGTACCAACATGCCGAAAATGAGCTAGGAATAGGATCCAGCTCCTGGTTAAGGTAGTAAAACTAATGGCAAGGAATTGGAAACAAGAAAACACAAAAGATTTTAACATTATAAAAGAAAAGAACCATGAAGTTTGGAACCTCAGCAGTTGAGAGTGGCGGGAAAAGCTTTTGGGGGGAGAGATACCCATTTCTCGGTTTATGACCTCAGTAAAACCATGTTTGATTCTCTGGGAACTAGTCTCCATTTTAAGCAGATTTGCAGCTCGCTTGGCCTATGCAGCGATGTGGTGAGAGAGGGACTTCGTCGCCCTCTGGTGGATATATATGTGTGCGTGTATATATATATATATATACACACACACACACATGTTGTTGAGGAAGAAGTTAGAATAGTGTCAGAAAAATTCAGTAACTCTGAATGGAGATTTTATGATTATTGGGATTTCAATGACCTTAATTGGAAGTTTCTTTTATTTCATTTTGAATTATTTAAGCGCGTTTTAAGAAAGGCGAAATTCAAATCTTATAAATATCTCAAAAAAATGAGTATTTAATTAAATAATAAATATTTATATTTATATTTAAAGCACCTTCAAATCTCCTCACTCAAACAATTAAAAAGAAAAAATTGAATTCCTGCACCCAGGATTTCGACTTTCAATGTATAAAAATCTGCTGATTCTCCACGACAAATAGTGAACACTTAAAATATTTAAAACGAAGATAGTAAGATATCCACAGAAATAGTAACAGGCAAATAAATTTATTCTTGGAATTCTCTCCATATTATCCCGTTCAAAAAAAAAAAAAGAATTCTCTGTATATAACCATATCCAGGCCAAAAAAAAAATTGAATTCTACAAGAATATGAAAAATCATTACATTAAGAATATGACAAAAGGCTATGTACCTGCAAAATCCACACTATTTTGTGTGTGTGTGTAAGATTTTATAAAATCCAACCCTTGCAATTCTACCCCACCTTCTCCCCAATTGAAGACAAAAATTTAAAATCCAGGCAAAGCTAAATGGTATACTGAATCCAGAGCTCCTCTTTACAACTAGCTCTAACACCCCCTCCTCCCTCCTCCCTCCTAACCAACCCTTTTCTCCTATTTTGAGGAAACAAAATTAAAAGAAAGCACTTACCTCTTAATGTGCTCTTGTTATATCAATACATTAGAAAAAATGTGTTGCCAAGGTTTCACATTCCTATGTCAAATTTGTGTAGAACAAAAGCTGGGATAAGAAGAGCAAACTCCCCCCAGCCAAGTTGTGACATCTGCCAAGTATATCCATCTTTGTGTAGACTTCATCATCAAAATAGTTCTCAACTCCTCTCTTGCAAACTTAATCTAGGAACAAATAGCCGGATTATCGTTTAACTAATCATCGTCCTCTGTTATCAAGGCAAATGAGAAAGGTTTGAACTTGTAGCCGTCACCATGGTAGAATTTATTTTGAAATTCCACCCAGTGAAGACGCAAGGCATGAAGGAAAGCACTAAGTGTCTCCATCATGAGTAGTATGAAAGCCGTTGCAAAGGCAAAAACCGCTAGCCCAACTAATCGAATGACAATGTTGTCATACCTGTAATAATCATTCCTCAAGGAGTCATTACCATTTAACAATAGAGAAGCACATAAACGTTATATAAGAGAACAGTGACCGCTTATAAGCATTTGACACATGAAAACATGGCACATGATAGCATATTGGCAGGATTAACCTTGCTTCTAGGATCAAACAAATTTCTTAGCCAAAGTCCTGCATCTAGGATTCTTAACTGAAAATTATGCACAATGTATTCTGGTTTAAATGCCAATAAATTAATATTGTCCATATAACATTAACATACTAAGCCAATCTCCAACTAGAGAAGTTATTTTGAAGTTACCCAATGAAGTGGTTCAGCTCGGACTCAATGCCTATATGTGTTGTAATATGTTTTAGCAGCTTGACTAAGTAGCAATTGGTCTAGCAATAGCTTGAAATTTGTTACATCACACAAAAAATACTACTACAGTATTTCTTTTTATTTTATTTTATGGCCTCGTACAGTGGTTTAGTTCCATGTCGTGCATCCAACACTTAAATATAAACCATAAGCCAGGAAGAGAACATGAACAGACAGGAAGAAGTTGGAATATACACAAGACTAGCATGGACCATGTAGCACATTAATAAAACTCACCCCCAAGCAAGTAGTAGGACTTTCTCATAGAAAACGGTCGATAATTCAGAGTGTGCCAAGCTGAAATGTATCAGAAGCAGACATTAACTAACATTTACTTAAGAGACAGTGTGAAAACTTTCAAACCGAGAAAACCATAGCTCTACCTTAAAGCCCAAAGTCGAAGATATGATGCTGTGTTTGAGACAGCACCTAGAACAAACTCAATGGAGTGTATCATTTGGTGCACAAAAACCTCACTAAAGTTGAACTCCTCATGATGTTGCCGTGCAGAATCGGGTTCCACATCAAGATCAAACTCAGAGGTACCAAGCATGCCATAGGTGCGACCTTGAAATCTCTAAAACATATTGGAAGGAAATAAGATCAAATAAATAACAATATATTCATATGAACTCTTCTAAATATATTCTAGTAATTGAAAAAAAAAAAAAGCCTACTAGTATACTAGACAACAATGGGAAAGGGCCTACAATATATTCCAAGGGTACCCAAAGTGTTCAGCACTTTAGATAATAGGAAAATAATAGCATTCAAACAAGTATCCTGAGTGATTAAATGCTTAGCTCTTCTAAGTATGGGAATAGCACCATATTTCCCATAGAAGAGAGATCATTTTAACATCAAGCAAGAATATGGATTGCTTATGAACTCTTCTATCTAATGATTGAAAAAAAAAAAAGGCATACTAGCATACTAGACAACAATGGGAAAGGGCCTACAATATATTCCAAGGGAACCCAAAGTGTTCAGCATTTTAGATAATAGCAAAATAAGAGCTTTCAAACAAGTATCTTGAGTGATTAAATGCTTAGCTCTTCAAAGTATGGAAATAGCACCATACTTCCCATAGAAGAGAGATCATTTTGACATCAAGCAAGAATATGGATTGCTGGTTACTACGCTCTCATATTTCATCTTCAGAGCAAAAATTGAAAACAATAAAAGGTTTAGTAGTGCAATAATTAAGCACAAAAAGCATCCAAAAAACAATTCAAAAATGCAAAAAAGGAGCACGAAAAGTCTCAGCTATCATCATGCAGCACCAAATCAGAAGCCTGTTATAATCTCAGAGTAAAAAGGAAGGACCAGACAACCAGTTTTCTAACAGAATATCTATAACACTACTCAACAATTAATTGGATCCATCTTACACTCCCAATTTTTTAAAATAAGGTACTCTGTTGTCCACATTATAGCCTCATAAGTATCAATCATCAAAGAGTAAGTTGAAGTCAGAGTTGTTCATATCATTTTTTGTCCATAAACTAAAGTTTTCTGTTCTAATTTATAACTATATTAATGTTGGACCAGAGGCTTGAACATGCCGGAAAGGGTTGTGGTCATCCAAATGCTTGGTTCCAAAAATGGTGATTTGAGGAGCACATCCATCACTTCTTTCACACCAGATGTAATTTATAATTAAACTAACAAACACATTATTAACATGTAGAATGCACATGCCCCATATAGATGAGAATGTTTACACCACAGGTGGTTTGATTGCCCTGCATAGACACAATTCTTAGCACTCATTCATGTTTAAACCATTATCTAAGGTGTGAGAAATAAGAAAACATTTTTCAGGACCAGAAGAAAAGTCAGCAAGATTCACATGACAAAGGCAAAATGGGATATGCCAGGCATTCAGTTAGACAATCTAGTTGGCTCATTTAAAGGATTTATCTTTTATAGCACAATGAATTCTTCTAAATTTACTGTTTTCAAATGATAAGTACCATAAACAGTAAATGTTAGTCATAGAAGCTAAAAGATTAGAAAAATAGCTTTAAGAAAGCATGAAGCAAGAAAAGCCAACATCATAGTACCTCAGAATGAAGCTTCTTCAAAATAAAAGGTTTAGGAAAGAGCATCCATGGAACTGCAACTAACGCCAAAAGCAGCAGTACGATCTGCACGAGCAACAATCGATCACAATGAAGACTTGACACGAAAGAACAAGGTATATAACAGTCTGCAACAGTAGCCAGAAGAGAGAAAATCGCACCTGAAGTGGTCTCTGGCCCCAGAACAACTCATTATCACCAAGATCATCAGTAGGACTCAAAAACATATAGATCATCACATGATAAAGGTCCGCTTGAGAACCGGTGCACCACTTAATTATGATGAGAAGTGAAAGATACCCAAAAAGGGAGTTAAGAAATATCATCTGTGGCACAAACTGATACCTAACATCAAGATGAAAATAGGTTCTAGCTTCATCACTTAAACAAAGCAAGTGGAAAACACTGAAACAGGGTATAAAGTCAGAGGAAAACAAACCTAATATCCAGAGAGTTGCGAAAGAAACGTGCACTGAAATAACTTAATATGATTCCTAGGTTCATCTGGGCTACACCCAGCAAAATTGACATCTTCATCTTAAGAGAGTTCAGAAAAGGCAACTCTGAACGACTTCCACGCCAGCTAGGATCCACACCAAATGGGTACGGATCGCGAAATTTGATTAAACCAGCTGAGTGTGAATCTCTGACCAAAACAAACATACATAATAACAGTAGAGTAAAATTAGTTGAAGAAACAGAATGTTCTTTTTTCAGAATATGAGATATTTTTAGTCTGCACAACTATTGCAAATTTGAACCCCTAACCTTAACTCAAAACCAATGCTTTAAGCTAGCAGGTGGAAACTAGGCTAGTCTCCCTCTGTTAATATGTTGAAGTTACAAATAAGATAGATGCACGAACTTAGAAAGACTAATTTAAGGTTGATCAATGCCTTAAAGAAAAAATGAATAAAACCTAATTTGGTCTATTAAGATCTACATAGATTTGATTCAATGGTGCAGAAACATATAAGTAAAAGTCAAATTCTCTTTCAACTGTAGTGCAAAGATGGCTGCAAATACTATGTACCCAAATACTTACAGAACAGAAAGAAATATAAAGCAATTGATAAATCAAAACCAAGAAAAAATTTACATCGACAATAGTTGTTACAAAAATTATAAAGGAGGCACCTCTGAGAAAATTGTAGGACAGAGGAAGACATCAGATGAAAATAGAACACATTTTTCATCTTTCTAG